CGTTCATGCCCCAGTTTCTGTGTGACCTTAAGGATGAGGGTTTGTTGGATGGATGGCGACTGGGTCTCCTTTGACTTGCTGTGATTGTGCTGGGTCTTTCTTTTGCTCCTTTTTTATATTTCTCAGAACCTTTCAGTTGCGGCTCTCATTGGAACTGTCTTTCTGTTTGTCTCAGAATTGCCACCTGAGGATGAGGATGAGTCCCAGAAGATCAAGCTTTTTGGAGCTAAGTTGGCTCAAGGGCAGGTGGAGGCCACAGTCATCGGTTTGGCCATCGCAGGAGTGGTGCTCTTCCTGCTCACCGGCTTCCTCCTGGGAGTGGTGGTCTATCTCGAGAGACAAAAGAGGCTGAGGCGCAATCGGAGGTCCATCCTGGATGACGGATTCAAACTGATGTCTAAAAAGAATCCGGGGCTATAAAGCCATGTACGATCTTCTGGCTGGGTGCCTGAAGCAGAGGCTGGATTGTTGTCCACAACAAAGATTTTGGAGCATCATTTCACTAGACTTCTGGTACACCAGACTTCTAGAAGCTAAGGAGGGAAAGCTGGAGCCCTGACCCTTTCATATATCCTCCTTAGCACTCTGTAAGGAAAACATCCACCCAGGAGAGATCTGAGGACCCTTTCAACTGACTGAAGACGAGTAATGAGATTAAAAAGGTCCTTCGAAAATACTTCTCTTCCACAAGGAGAGGAGACCATTCCCATGTTTTCTTCTCTCCAGAACAACTCCACTTGGTCTTTAACAGCAGATGAGCTTAGGCCTGATTCCAGTCTTCCTCCATTGCCAGAACTGAGTTGGGAATTGTCTCCCAAGAAACTGTGAGCCTTTAAAGTAATTAATCTGAAGGAGGAAGATAATATTTTCATTTTTGTGAATCAATTAAGAATAATGCAGAAGAGAAAGTGTTAATTTAGGTTTGGATTGCTGTTTTTTGATGAGTAATTGGACCAGTCCAAATTCAGGGCAGGACATGCCACAGCGTCCCAGAGCTCCATCAAGGACCATGACAACAGCTGTGCCTCACCGTCAGCCTTGCTGTGACACATCCTCCTGCTCTCAGTCCCCCAGGCAATGTTCTTCAATATCGAGCATCTGTGTTTTGTGCTGGGAGAAGCTTTTCCCAGCATTGCACAGCGTCCTGGTGACTTCCCTGCATTGCAGGCCTGTCAGTGTGTGCCTGTGCTGTATCTCAGCACCTGTGCAGCTCCTTGTGCAACAGGGACAAGGGTGCTGGGGTTTTCTGTGATGTGGTTTGCTGTCTTTTGTTCAAATAGATGTTACTGAAGTTACCTCTGGAATTGAGCTGTTGCTGCGTTACTGCTGTGAGCCAAGCCAAAGACTCTGTTCTGTGTGAGTTTGTGCTTGGGGCTGAGAAAGCGATTTCACCCCATCATGGTGCAATGCAAATGGTGTCCAGGAAAATGTGGTAACAGTGAAGAAGGAGAAAGCTGAAGTGCTGGCAGAATTTGGCAGTGTGGAGCAAATAAGCTGCTGTCTACGGAGGGTGAAGTAGTGTGACCTGAGATGAGGGAATGCTGGCTGTAACGAGGGGCTGTACTAAAGGGTCCCTGGCCTTTTAGACAGCACAGAATTGCAGGTGTTGGAGGTGGAGAGGCCTGTCCTGATAAACACATGCTCACGGAGTGTTGCTGTCTACTGAACCTTCTGTGGTTACAGTCCTCATGGGGAGAGGAGCCAGGAGGGGACAGGGACACGGTGCCAGCCCCTGGCCTCAGGGGACCCTTTGGGATTGGGGTTGGGCATCCCTGGATGCCTACTCTCCTAGTTGCAGCTGTCTGCCTGGAGCCAAACTGGGGCATGAGTGGTGCAGCCCATGACTGACACTGGTAGCCCACTTGCAGGCTGTGGTAGCCATACCCTGGCAGCAGTCGTGCCCATGCACATCATAGTCCCGTTGCCCTGTGTGTCAAGCATCAAGCATAAAATATCCCTATTTTATTTCCCTATAAAATATCTGTCTTCCTGGCTCACCCACGGACTCCCCATTATCTAAATGGATGCAGGTTAGTGCTTACATATTTCTGTCCTTGGTTTTAAATTGGAAAGAGCGTAAAAGAAGTCCTTTCTAGGTGGCTTTCAGAGGCAATTAAAGCATAGCCAGCTAAATGGCTGTAATGACAAGGGACTGCTAAAGGCTATTTAGGTATAACAGCACCATTTTATTCAGAACAATAGTTATAACATGCTTAATCATGCTCAATTCATATTGGATCCCTGCGTATTTCCAGCTGCCCTTTCCTTTGGCAATGGGGACAAAGCTCATTCATTTCCTTTCATTACACTTCATTAAGCCTGGTGAGGAGCTGGAGGGCTGTTGAATGCCGTGAACATGGGTACTCTGCTCATTATCAACCCTGGTTCAGGTGCTGTTGGAAACCAGAGGTTTGTAAGCCCACCAGTCCTGGGTGAATTTTGGAAGCGATGTCATCAGGAGTTAGAACCAAATAGGAAAGTTTTTGGGTTTTTTTCTTCTCCTTGGCTCATGAAAATAATAGAACAAAAACATGTTGTCAGCCTACGCTGAGACAAAGGAGTTATTGTATGCAAATATATTTACTTTCTTCAAGAATCCAGAAAGAGGGAAGTTGCCCTTTTCTTCACTTCTTCTGCCAGGGCACTGAGCTGGACGAGAGCAGACCTGGGTTTCAGTGCTGGCTCCAAACCAGGGCAGCACAGGGACTGGGGCTGAGGCTCCAGATTTGCATGTATGCCTTAAACAGCAGGCTGCCAAAATTCCTCAGATTCAGTGATTTTGGGCCAAGTGGAGCACAAGTGGCTGAAGTCTCTCCTCCGGTGCTGGTAGTTGGGAGACTTCTGAGCCCATGCCCTGGAGGAGGCCTCAGCTGAGGTTTTGGCTGTTTTGGAGAGGACTGTGTCCTCAGATAAGCAATTCTACCCCAGCCTGAGAAAACTCAAGGGACAGTTTTGGATGAAGCAGATAATTTTGCTAAAACTTTCTGTTGCCACCAACCGCGACAAGGATGGGTTTATCAGCAACTTCACAACTGCCTCTAATCAGAAGTTGGCTCTCGCAGCCGGTAGGCGTGCAAAAAGGAGGAGAGATGGGTGTTTCACAGCTCTGGTGACTCTGAGCTGCATCCTGCGAGCAGATCTGTGTCTGCTCTGGCATCAGTCCTGTCTAAGCATCTGACAGGATTTTGTTTGTGTACGTGGCTACCAAAGAAGTCACCTTGTAAGGGGGGCAGGATCAGGGTCTCGGCACTGCTGCTCCACAGGGACATGGGGATGGCAACAGCTCCCATGCTGAGCCAGGCAGCAGGTCAGGTGAGTGCTCCTGCTTTTTTTGGCAGTGCAAAATGAGCTAGCTAAGGTAAAACTCTGTTTTGCAGCAGTTCCAGATAAATGGGTTGCAGTAATACATGCTGAAAAGGGTTAGAAAGCCCTCGGGTAATCCATTAGCATGGCTCAGCTCGCAGGGACAGAAATAGATATATACGTGCTTTTAGGTCATTTGCTGTAGGAAACTTAAAAACCTCCACAAAAAAACCCACCCTGCTTTCACACACACTGCCAGTAGGAGTCCAGAACAGGTTTATCTTCCCAGAACTGGTCTCTCAGGTTTTGTATGAGATAAGCATAAGCAGGAGCTAATACTTCCTATTGTATTCACAGATGGTGCTTTTTGTCTGAAGTTCCAGCATTACCCTTCCTAGGCCCCAAATGGGATGAACTTTCTAGAAGTTTTCCTAGATGATCACTTGCCTGTTGAAAGTCACCCACGCTCTT